ATGGCTCGTGGTAGTAGTGGAGCTTGTCCCTTACCTTTATTATAAGGAAAATAATTAAGGGACAACCATTACATACGTCTTTTTTTTGTTATTTATAGTTATACTAAATATACGTTAAATCGCTGAATCAGAAAATGGCGCTGACATGGTAACAAAAATGGAATCTCACAACAACAATAATAATAAAATCTTTAAGAGTTAAGATTTACAGTCACTTTAAATATTAACACTAGCTTGCCGCCCGCGATTCCCCCGCTTTATTTTAACAGACGATTTTTTCAAACCTCCAGTAGTACTATCTGTGCGTTGATTATATACATGAATCTGTACATTGCCTTTTATCCTTTAATGGATTAAGATTTAATCATTATATTACATAAATCAATTCTTAAGCTTTTACCGTAAATCAGATTCAAACAAGCCTCTTTCTCATGTCAAGCACATGGAGATATACTCTCCACAAAAAATATACGTAAAGTAACAGAGCACTGTTTTTCTTTCAACATACTTTGAAAGTTTTGAATGGGTCATTGTGTCCGCATACCGCAGTGAACGCGTGAATCGGAGTATTACTGACTTTTTTTTTAGTAAATGAAGCAATTTATCATATTATCTCAAAAGTATCCAATACTTTCAAAAAACGTATCACTTAAGGTAGTGTAGTAAACAAATGAAAAGTGCCCTATAGTTAAAAGTCAGCGTATTGGGGACTAATTATTTCCCAAAAGTGTTTGTTTCGCGTCGTGTTACAGAGATTCCTTCATAAATATGGGCGCAAGTCAAAAGCCAATGGATTTTCTTCTTTTTTGTTTTATTTCTTTTGTGATAGATGATCAATCGAAAGTTTTACCTAATGAAATATCAGATCAAAAACACGTAAGTAGAAAAATACTTGCATACTTGCATTGCATTTCTTCTGGCGCATAAAGCTAAGAAATTGAATGTTAACCAAGTTGGTTTACTCAGTATTTGCCTTCCTTTTGGAGTAGCTGTCCTGCAACAAACTAGCTATGTAACGCCTTTTATTCATTTAAAAATTTAGGCTTGTAGAATTTTCCACAACTTAATCATAGCGGCCGAAAATGGCCCGAATGGTTTCGAGAAAAGAATAGTGCGGCCGCACCTTTTCAGATAATAATTTTATAACCAACTATCTAGCTGTTTGCCCGCTTAAATTATAGCCTGTGCTACATCATACACGGTGACGTGTATGATGTAGCTTCGCTTAAGGGAAAGAATTTTTAAAATCAGTTCAGTTGTTCGGAGTCTATTTTATGCAAACAAACCAACAAACAATCAAATCTTATATCTTTATAAATATATGATGTTAATCATAAATGTATATTAATATAAAGAAATAATAAGGTGAAAATAAGAATTTTTATCAGTATTGTCAATATATAGTCACCTAAATGTCAGGTTTCACAAGAGTAACGTTAGTTTTTCGCTTCAATTTTACTAAAGCAGTTACAAGGTTAGCAAAATTGAGACCCTTAGTTTTCTTAAATTTTTAATACAATAACAGTAAAATCTTTCAAAAATATTTTTAGGGTTCCGGGAAAAAAAAACTTTAAAGTCAACGTAATCAAAAGATACACCCGTTTATGCCGAAAATTTCGAAACTCCTACAGGGTACTTCCTGTGAACTCAAAATATAGAAATTTTTACGAGCACAGATAAAAATTGCTAAATCCTTTAGTTGTAACATATAATAAATATTTTTAATAATTTAAAAGTTACTACCTTTTACTTATACACCTACAGGTTTGTCCGGAACCCTCGATGCGCGAGTCGCTGTTTTTTGTTCTATGAGATAAGAATGATCCAGAAGGACCCTTAAGACATCGGGAAGTTTTTTGCAGCATCATCAAATATTATCATTAACTGTACCACACTCATTTAAAATTAACAAGAAACTTTTAAATTAAAGCTGTGTACTACTATATACTTTATCAACTAATACATTATAAACATCGTCGACGTAAAGGAAACGTATATTTGAGTGTAATTATTGAAAAATGGAATCAACGATTACACCAAATGAAATCAAATTCTATCATATACTAGTAATGAACAATACATTATCATGTACCTAACACATTTCAGTATTACACAATGTAATAATCGTGAACATTATAACAAATTATGCTGCAATACCAATTCCATTTCATGTGGACTGTAATAAGCAAATTTCCAATGTGAATTGATTTCACTGTAGTAGCACGGTGGGTGTTATTTTATAATATGCGAATATTTCGAGTTTTCTGAATATTTAACAAGTCGTGGCGTACATATTGATTTCATTTCCACCACGACTTTAACTACATAGTCTTGAAGCCTGGAATCCCTTAGATCTCTTGATGGAATAAAAACTTCAATGTAAATCAGCCCATGAAGATTTTAAAAATTGTATTAGTAAATGTTCGACTTTTTTTATCATGGTAATATTTGTCAAATTAAAGAAAAACAAAAATCACTAATAGACTGCATAATTAATTGATGTACATTTTCATTATAAAAGAATAGAACATATTTAACAAAATAAAATTACAAAAAATGCAACAACGAATAATATGCTCCGAACTTACTATTTCACGTCACTAATAATACTTCAAAACACTATTAGATCATCCGAATAGTTTTCACTTCACTAGTATCGTTTGTATTCACTTTCGATTGCTCTCGTATTCAGTTCACTAGTCACTGAAAGAATGCCGGGTTGGATAGCCCATCGCGTATTTATAGGGACCGAGGTGGACTCTACCAGCATCTAGAATGTTCGAGGACCTAATTCACGTCGAATGTTGTATTTCGATTGCGTTTCTAGTAGCCTGCTCTTTACATCTTCTCATCGATGCTACTTCCTCAGAAGTGCCAATCAGTATGCCTCGTTTGATTGACTGTTCTTTGTCACACAGGTTCAGAATTTATACTCTTGAAATAGTAATACCGTTGAAAGTCTAACGGCAGCGCTTACTTCCAAGTTATGGACCCCGTTGACCAAGAGCCCAACCAAGAGCAGAATTAAAGTGATATGCTTTCCAGAGGAGTTCCTCAATCTCAAAACTCTCACCGCTCCGTTGCCCCAATTCTTTATTTGAGCTCAGAACACATATTCTGGGTGCGCATTGCCATATTGAGCCTCTAATGCCTCGTTCTCTTACTTTTGGGATACTCGATCTTTTACTTCCTTCAATATAACGCCCAACTTCCCGCACAGATCCTCTTTAAGTTGAGCAATTTGTTCTTTTTGCTCGTTCTTACGATATCGCAACTATTTCTGGAGCAGAAGAGACTATTGCTCCTGGCGGCCAGGTTATTCCTCTTGGCGGCAAGCTTATTCCTCTTGAGGGCGAGCCTGTTCCTCTTTGAACTGCTGCATCAGAGCCATTAATGCAGTAAAGTCTGAAGATCAGGCCGTAGCAATTGTCGTGGTCGTTGCAGTCACCGTTGTCATCGCAGTCGCTGAGGTCGTTATAGTTGCTTCCAATTCATATACAATTGTATACTTTATGTATGAAAAAATATTAACAATAATATTAAACATAGTCATGTACACAATTTTAATACTAGAAACAAAGATAAACATGTTTTGCCGTCATGTAGGATTAAGAAGGTTCTATTATTATTTATGGGTCCAGGTGTACACTACTATAACAAAATTCCTATGGAAATTTTAAATTTACCATTACCTAAGTTTAAAACCCATATGAAAAATTGTCTACTCAGTAAAGGATATTATACTGTTAATGAATATTTAAACGACAAAACTGCTTGGTGTTAAATATGGCTCATTTTTCATATATATTAAATTGTTTATCGGTGAGCTTCTTTGACTACACATGTGATTGGATTGACGAAAATACTATTTTACTCTTATATTGTGTAGCATTGTAATGGAAAGTGACTTCAAATTTAAATGAAGTCATTTTTCAATCTTGACGCTCTGTATGAAATAAAACAGGAAAAAAGCAGCCCTTGCCGAGTTTCTTGCCGGTTCTTCTCGGTACAAGGTCTCCCGCCGTAGATTTACGAACCGTTGGCGTAGCTCTCGACTTTCACAAGTGCTTGTACCAGCCTAGACTGAATAAATAATTTTGATTTGATTTTGATTTGATTTGATTTGATTTGATTTGATTTGACTTGTTGACGTTGGCTCTTACTATGAACGCCCACTGCAACGTCATGTGGTGTATCAGGCATATTGTTTTTGTCCCACTACTGACACTAAATTGTTACGACTTAGGGTTCGGGATAAAAAATTAACGCCATTTTAAAATTTAACTACAATTATTCAACAAATTAAATTACAAAAAAAAGTCCATCAACAAAGTATACACTTCGAATACATTTTTTCACATCCTAATAACACTTCATAACACTATTAGATCGTCCGGGTATTTTTCACTACACTAGTATCGTTTGGATTAATTTTGGTTGCTCCCGTATTCAGTTCACTAGTTACTAAAATTGAAAATAAAGTTATTATTATTATTAAATAATGACGGGGCTGATAGCCCACCGCGTAAAGGGGCTGTGGTAGACTCTACCAGCATCTATCTGCCTAGAACATTCTAGGTTAGCCTCGGCACTGCCTGTGTATACGAGACATTACCAAAACTTTCTAGAATGGCTACCAGTCCCTTTCTTCTCCAGTGAGTGTTCCTTTTCACCGACGACACTTATACGATATACGTAGTTTGGACGTTGTCAACGCGATTCTAATGACACGTAATACGATCTTGTAACGGGTACATGAAACATCGCGCCGCTGTTTATATTATGACGTCATAACTTGGTGAGTGATCGTAGTCGATAGCGTCGAACGTGAGTGAAAAAGACAAATCATAAAGAGCAGTTAATAAATTGTTAAAACTATATTTATTGATAATAATATATTTCTATTTGTGAACTACAAATTGCTGTCCAATGTTCCCTATTTTATGGAATAAAAATCAATTATGACTTTTACTTTTAACTTTCACCTCGATGAAAAGTTTTCACCACTGATGAACACTGCACTTGGCCACGTTGTCGCATCTGAGTACTTCCGTCGTCGTATCATCGTCTTTTTTTTTAGTTGTACTAGTACTAGTTGTAGTATCAGCTAACATCGGAGCCATGGTGCTTGTGGTGGTGCCCTGCCGATTGTAGTAGTAGTAGTTCCATTCACCCTCTCGCAGGGGGTATGATTCTGCAGGGACGCAAGTCGTCTTCGGCTGGAATAATTATAATTGTATATATTTATCTTAAATAAACATCAGTATAGTATTGTGGATGAAAAATTTATCAAAAATTATTTATTTTATTTATTTAACATAACTAAACGGGATAACCCAATTACATAATATAGTTGATGATTCAAAAATTAGATGCGGAACTAAATTATTTAAAGCTCTTCTTCAAGAGTTTGCCTTAAACGACCTATAAATGGATTTGCCTGTTGTGTACGATGAAAAAGAGAAGAAAAAAAAATATACCAAAATATGCAGTAAATAATGAAATTAAGTAGTGATTGCGTACATTTCCATGAAGAAATTCACCCTCATTGTTTTGATCTTCAAAAGATACCGGCGCACATTTGGTTACATCTTCACAATTATAACCAGGCAAGCACGGTGGTTTCTCCATATATCCTGTACCTTGAGAAAAATCTCTTATTATATTATCTCCATAATAACTAGACGCAGAGTATTTGGCCACATCAGCCATATTGATGACGGGGCGAAACCTAAGCGGTTTGCAATCTGTTGCTCGAAGACAAATAGTTGTCATTATAGTTAACCAATTCATAATGACGTATAAAGACGCATATTTTTTTTTAAATTAAAGGTGTCCTACAAAAACGATACCAAGAAACGTAGTGGGAAATCAGATTAATGCTGTTATTATTGATCCAATATAATGTTTTGAAGCGGTGTGAATAAATTGCATGCCGTATAATTAAAAATGGCGTATCTGTTTTAAATTTACGTAGACTGGCTCTAAAATCGATCAGTGAACTTGTAGTAATGAAACAATTGTGTAATTTATATGCAGAAGTAATATTGTAGGATCAAAAAAACGTTTTAATGATACACAAGAATAGTATAAGCATATGACATTTCCTTCACTATCTGCATTGTTTATCAAATAGTGGCTAATATAATAATTTATCAATTAAACCCACATTACTTTTGTTATTTTTATTTTCCGCATCTTAAGCAATTACAATCTAGGATCCGCAGTTCAGCTGATGTAAGTTAGATTTGACTCAGAGTGCGTGCACTGCGTTTTGACGCATAAATACGTTTGCAGTGCGTACTTTATTATATTTAAAGTAATTTCAGACTTGTGATTAATCGCACTGTAATCAAGTTTATATGCTAGGTTGCTGCAGAAACTCTGTAAGCGCGATACAGGTAAAATACCGTCATCTCGTAACTTTGCGTGATAACTTATGGCTTTCATCGTACCGTTTATGATTGCAGAGATGTTATGTATATCGCGATGAGATAGTTGCCGCTATGTCACGAGTCACAAAAAATTCAAAGCTGAGTAATAAAACCCCATAACCGTTTACCCCAGCATAAATAAACGGTGACATATCGAACGACCACCATGGATCAATTAACGAATTAAGGTCAAAGCTATATTAAACGACGAGAAAATAATTTTGATCATATTACGTATCTCTAAGTTGGTCTAGACGCAGTACAATTACAAGATCGTGAGTGGAATTTGTATCGTGTAAAAAAAACATTACGCTCCCGAAGGGAAAAATATGATATTGCTTTTAAATATGAAATATTACTCCGAAAGTGTTCATGTATTATGAAGAAAAAGGGTGAACCCATGTCACGTTTATGCGTTCGCAGGCGCCGCGATGTGTCTTCATTGGGAAAACAATGAATTGGTGTAGCCCACTTTGTTATATTGTATTTTGGGACTTCAAGAATTTATGTGAGCTTCGTCGGGGAATATTAAAATAAGGTCACTTTACATATTAACTTCTGCTCGAAATAAAAATTCTTTCCTATTGTATTTGATAAGTTTTGTAGAAACAATGAATAGTTTATATTTATCTTGTGGAAAAATACTTCAAAAATCGACAAGCGTAAGTTCCGGAGACAGGATTTGAACTCGTAACCCGTACGAGTGCTCTAATTGAGTTATTCGAGTCTATAACGAGACTTATGAAATTGTTTAAGATTTCTTTGTGCATTCATCAATGTTGCAGTCTATATAAAGGATATAGAATAGTTGCTTTTGTAGTATATGTTAGAATCACTTTCTCGGACGCAGATATAAAAAAGTTAGTAATATTTATATTTTTGTATTTAGGCTGTATATTCGAGACATAGAGATCACACACGATTAATATATATAATCTGTTATTAAAATACACCAGAGATATAAACTAATGTAAACTACATTATGATTTCATTGGTAAAAGTTTAGAAGAATATTATAAAGAATACTTGCTTTAACTTACCAGGTTTCTGTAACTCCAAATTTGAAGTAATGAACAAACATGGAAACACTCAAGCCAGTGGAGGGTCGATTGGAGAAATAAAACGATTTCTGTGTTTTTTATTCAAAATCACTCACTCGAATCAAGTTAGAAATAAGACCTGCTAAAAGTTAATATAATTAAATACTTAATTGACATTAAGATACTCGAGTATTGTACTAGTAAGGTTTATTTGGCAAGAGAATGTTGAAAATTTTGTTTTTGAATTAAATTTTCTATTGCTAAAAATTCAAAGACGATATCTTCTGTCGAGGCATTTGTGCATCATAAATACCTAAATTCCAATCATATGATTATTTTGTGTAAAGTGTATGCGTGCGTTCGTACATGCTTGAGTATATATGCTAATGACATAACTTTCCTTGCAATTTTTTCATTATCTTTAAATCTGTTGTAGAGTGAGTACATCTCTGTTAGCATATGTAGCATTCTGACATAGGGACGTAAACCATCCTCAGTTTAACTTCCGACTTAAGTCTGGCATTAAATTATAATACGCAACAGCCGAAATTGAACCGGCTACTTTATAAAGTCCTACAAATCAATGGCGCACTAACAACCCTCTCGAGTCTACTGAGCTTTAGCAACGAGTTTACGTAGCGAATGATGCATTTTACACGTTACGATGTGATATTATTATACCTACTGTTTATTTATTGTTATCTATTAATATAAATAAAAATCAATGGACCAGTTATCCTGTTCTCTTTTCGTGCTATAATAGTAAAGGCAGCACTATTTTTATACATTCAAACTGGAACATTTGAATTGCAAAGAGCAGGTGATTTATTCCTGTGGGCTCATCTTATAAGTCTATATATCAATGAGTCGCAGAAATCACCCATGAATACCACACCAACTGATTTTCATTTTCAACAAATCGAAAAATACGTTACTCTCGTACATTTGCCAAACAATTAATCTGTCCAATCTTGATTTTCCTGGCCAAATCAAGTAATGTCGGCATATAGTGATATGCCCGGGCAGATCTTAATCGGCTCAATCCAACGATTGACCCACGACATTAAAATTAATATTTTTAAATTTACACTACGCGATTTTGTTGAAAAACTAATTCGTTAATTTATTCATTTACAATACCCGAAATCTTGTACACTAAATGTCTCCAAACTATTTCCTTAGGCCGTTTGTGCGGTCGAGAATCCGTGATTATCTGAAACGTAAATCAGTGGTAAGTCAACACTATTGTCGTTTTACAACAGTTAATTAAACCTAGTGACTTGTTACTAGACATGTCCGTTTATTTGTAGGCATATTTATCGACATGAACTTGACTTAATAGCTGTATTGGATGCTATTTATAAAGGTCATTTTGACATTCAAATCAGGTCAGTTAAGTAAAGAAAACTCTTTAGTGACAAAAGTACACAAGTAAATAAGGTTACTATAAAATTACAAAATTTAAACAACTGAAAAATAATACATCTATTAAAAACAGTTAATTTAAAAAAAAAACATTGAAGTCAGCCTGAGGTTTTATGTAGTTAATTAAATATTAACCGTCCGACTTCAATGTTTCTTAAAAAAATTAACTGTTTAAGATAAGTATTGTTTTTCACTTTTTAAATTTGAAATCGGCTCTATTTAAAAAAAAAAGTTTTTATTTCGTGCATTTTAGTGATATTTTTAGTTTTGGGGTAACAAACATAATGCTAATTACACATAATACTAATTTAAGACTTATATGCTAATTTAAGTTGCCATTGAAGGATCTGGACCAAATAAAGAAAGAATCGTCAAAATCGGTCCGTCAAGTAAAAAGTTATGAGGCAACAAGCAGAAAAAAGATAGTCGATTTAATAGCCTCCTCCTTTTTTTGAAGTCGGCTAAAATACGACAATTAAATTTTAATACGGCCTCTAATGCATTAAGGCAGCGTAAATCCATTGAAATCGATTGGAGATTTGTATCCTTCTGTCTTATTGCAGAACATTATCCGATACAAAATATATTCATTGATTAATTTTATTGATAGGCTTAATATTGTAATTATTGTTGTTAATTTTTACGTAAAATTTACTTTCACTCCTTTTCATTAAACGTATTTTAATATGTAATTAAATTAATATGTAATTGAATTAGTTACCCCCAAATAAAATAACGAAATAAAATATTTCAGTCCACACGTCTCAATTTGACATTTTATATGTATTTTTCAATTTTTTAGGCCAATTATTTAAACCTAGTACCAACTTTAGTCCTCGTTTTATAATAATAAAATAAAAATAAAAACGTATTCATTGGAACAAACAGTTTTACAAAAGTATAATGTACGAATAGTTAAAAAAAAAACTGAAGTGGAACCATTAGCGCCCACCTTCAGGTAGCAAATAATGTTATGTTCCTTAGAGGAGACTGAGGACACTTGATCCTTACGGGAGACTAGATACAGTGGATTTACAGAGCTTCTGTAAACACTATATAATTTTAGACTGGCAAAATTTGTAGTCTATAGGTCGTTTTCCATTTCTAAAGTTAGCATTCCTGTAAAATTTGACAGTTGTGAAAATGGCGGATGTTTATGGGTTTCGTGTTGCAGAAAAATATTTTTTGTATGTTTTTCCTTTGATTACATAATTGGTTAGTAAACTTATTTTGGATATGTATCACTTTTAAACTAGTCGTTATCTATGTGTTTAAACATCTGTTTTATAGAAAAGTGTTAATATTGGTAGATTTTTGTACAATATTTTTTTATCGTTTTATGATCACACCGGATCAATGTCTCCTAACTTAAAAAAAAAATTAGAATTAAATATGCCTAGAGATTATATAAAAAAAGAGAAGGTGCAAGAAAAAGAATATCGATTCATAAGAATCTTGGAGTTGACTGTTAATGATGTTATAGGGGGTAAGAGTATTCGTGGTACACTCGAAAGATATGTTAGAAAGAAGAAAAATGCTACGACTGAAAATATTGACTACACTCCAAACTATTTCGTCCAGTCACAAATTTGTTCGTCAACTGAAGAGACAGAACTTGACGAAACTGGTATTACTGTAGTTCATAAGCCAAAAAAAATTGAAGCACCTCGTGTGTTCATAAGTTTCGAGACAAACTTTTTACTGAAAAAAATAAAAGAAATTGTTACTAGCTGTTATTTTTTATTCCGATTATGAATTTGGAATGTTAACTTTTAGTTTATTTGTATCGCAAATTTATTTGTTTGTTTTTGGG